CGTCAGAGTGAACCAGAAAAATACAGGGGAAGTGGGAAAGGGGAGGGCCGGGAGGTAAACCTAGAAGCAGCAGGGTAGGAGGAGGAGGAAAGAATAGTCACACATATCACAATTCTTTACAGAAAATCACCTCAAAAAAAGAAGACAAAAGTCAGTGATTTAAAAAAGCGAGGAGGGGAGGGGTGGATGTGTGGTGAGTGATGACGCGAAACGCGAGTTGACACACGCACCAACAGTGAAGCACACACATACACACACACAAAAATGTGGAGCGATTATTTACAATCGGCAAGAGATATAGACACTGACATCACTCGGTAAACATATGTACCATATTTATGCTGGAAAATTGGGGCATAGTCTCATTCTCTGTGGAATTGTTGGATGTGCGCGCCTGAGTATCATTCTCAAGTGTGCCATCTTTGAAGTCTCTGGTTTAGGAGGGATTAGTCACGTTAGAATTGGAGGTGTTTGCCTCAACCATAATTAAAGGACTTGAATCTGCTCCCACCACCACCACATCCTTATTAGCCTTCTTACAATCCGGAAGATTGAACACTTCAAGGATCAGGGGATCTACCTTGCTTGGATCGACGTGGAGAAGGATATGACCATAGTTGTCGGTCAGAGCCTGTAACTCCGCCAGATTAGTCAACACGGCAGCCAATAAAGTTCGACCTCGAGTGAAACCGTGGCGGGCTTCCAGATAGTGCTTCAACAGTAGAATGTAACGGTCGTAGATATTGGATACCTAAAAGTTAAATATTGACGATGGAAGGCCTTAGGGACGCCTAAAACTATTAATGGACTATAAAGCTTCCATCGACGGTGGATGATGATGATGGTGATGAGCGGCGCGTTTAAAGACCCGCGTTGAGCCTACATAGGATTGACAAGTGCGTGACGAGCAACTTGCAGTTTAGCAGACGTCACAAAAAATCTCTCTGCGTTGTTGAGGCACAAAAAGGGGGAGAGTTAACTCGCATCGATTGAGAGTTAGGTGTTGAAAAGGGGATAGGGGGCAACAAAAGAAAGTGGCAAAAAATAATTTACTGACCGATTGACGATCGGAAAGGCGAGGACGATCTGGAGCAAAGAGACACAACACCTGCATCAGAGCCACCAAATGGGAGTCCCTTTTAACAACATCAGCAAAGTTCCTAGTGTGGTGAAAAAATTCAACTTACTTAGGGCAAAGCAAAGGGCACCATGAGGTGGGGAAAAAAAGGGAGATTGCAAAATCACCTAACACCAACCTGCAGTACTTGGCGTGCTCCTCATAGAGATTTTGCATTCCTGTAGCAATTTTAAGTATACTGGTGGGTATTTCACCCTTTGGAGTGACCCACACATCTTTGATAACATCATAATGACTGGCGGAGCGGATAAAAAGGGCATTTAAGACAACCCCCTTGAGCAGACAAATTTGACCCTCTTGACCAAGGACGGAGAAGTCGGCCAACTTCTTGGCAAAATTTATAAACTTCCGTACCAAAAAACCAGAAGTATTCACCAAACTGCTTATAGTAATATTTGAGCTGCTCTCCGGCGCGTGATCGGAGGCACAATCAAGAAAGGACGTCTCATAGGCACTGCGAAGGTCGTTCAGCGCCGTCCATTGATGCTTCGAGAGGAGGCGGGCCATTCCCGATTTTAAAAAGTCTGGACACAGGGCTATACACTCCTGAAAATAAAAAAAAAACAACAATCACAAGATCAACTCGTTCTGTATCGAAGAGGATGAAGGGTAATGCGGTTGAGGGAGTCAATTCACCGGGACATGGCCTGCCCCCTCCATCCGCCGCCATCACTGCTGGAAGTTTGCACACTCACCTTGTTTGATGGATCCTCCGGTTCCAGTGTCCAAACGTGACCATCAAGGACATTTTTTACACCGGACTTAGAGTCTCCATTCGCGTGAGAAAGTGGATATTTCGAAGAGGAGGTGAGAACTGTCTTTGCTGGCTTCTTAACAAAATAGGGTAGTGTGGTGGAATTCTCCTCGAGTGCCTTCGACGAGGTCACCAATTGTAACCAGGCCTCATTGGGTGTTGCCTCAGAGGCGCCTTGTACCTCAGGAAGTGACTGCGCTGGGTGGGAATAGGACTCCATGCCTCCAAACGAGGATGGTGGATGAGGCCCGGAAGATGACGGAGGAGTCATCAAATGGGACTGGTGTAGATGATGGGAAGAATAAGCATCTGCGAGGAGTTTAGAATGCCAGGTAAAGACTCACCGAAAATTCAAAACACATCTGGTAAAGTGGTTTGTTTTAGCCTTTGAGCCAAGCAGAATCTACATTCAGTCAGGCAGTCGCTTTGGATGGGGTGATAATAAGTAGTATGAATTGCGACACAAACTGGAAGTAACCGTTGAGTGAAAACAATTGAAAGCTAAAATGTAAGTAGTAAGTAACTTACTTATCGAACCCTCAACCGTAGGTAAGCGATCCTGATGAAGATTTTGAGGCTAAAGAAATGAAGAAAGGGGAGGTGAATTATTGTCTGGTGTGCACTAAACAAAAATAAAATGAGGGGATAGATTGGAGAGAAGGTCACTTTTCCCACGACTTAAAAATGGGAGGAGAGAAAGATGTGTGTAGGAAGAGCATTGAAGGGACTTGAATAAACGGTATATAGGCTAAGCCTGGGTGTCAAATGTAACGGGGACCTCAATGTTGAAGTGGGCTATACACTCAAAAGTCAATAGCCTATTTCACTTCTAGTATGAAAAGCCAAACGAGTGTGCATATGTGTATGCGTGTCAGAAAAACGACCTCACCATCTGCCAAGTACTCCGCATTCCAGAATCCCTCGTTGACAGCATTGTGACAGCCAGTGGAGGGCAGCGCCTCAGTGGCTGTGGCAGGGTGAGATGCTGAGATCAAAGGATAGTAGGAGGGTGGTGTCTGTTGATGATGATGCGGAGGTGCCGGGGGATCTGGGGCTAGAGAGTGTGAGTGATAGTCGGGATTGGGAGAGGTGTTGCCTTGATAACACCGTGGAGGGGAATTCGAGCGCGCAATTGCCCCACCACGAGTGCTATCAGAGCTGGCAATCTGACCCGAAGCAACTTTTCGCTCCCGATTACGCTGAATCTTCTCCCTTCGTTCTCGTTTTGCTTTTTCATCTATAGGTTTACAAAAGTGGAAGTTAAAAAGAGAATCTACGAGGAATTCTAACTTAAAGCTCTTTGAGTTGATTGAATTTGGTGCCTAAATCGCATTTATGAAGATTTAACGCTAAAAGACGAGAGTAATACATAATTGCAGAGCAGAAACTTCGAGAAGTATGTGTGTGCCACTTAAAACACAATAATACGTAAGAAAAAGAAGACAAAAAAGTGTGTTGCAGACTGGATAACAAGACTGCGAACATTGACGTTCTTACGCAAGTCGAGGAGGGTTGGTGGGGGTGGGGGGGAAAGGGTGGTTACTGCCACGCATGCTAGCACATACAGAAACGCAAATCAAGAAAAAGTGGCAGTAAGGTAACAACTTCGTGATTGAGATAGCATGGTACTTGTACAAAAACCATCTTGGGAGCACATTCATACGTGTCAATAACTGTGAAGCCTAATTAGATTTGAAGAGACCAAGGTGAAGGTTGTCAATAGACATCTAATGACACAAGTGACTGATGACTGTCTTTAAGAGGTAAGGGGGAGGAAGCCTAGAAGCAAAGTAATCATGGAAAGAACAGGGAAGGAGAAGGAGATATGTACGTATCAAAAGATGGAGGCAGCTGAGGACAAATGCGATAGATAGGCTATAATCTCAACAAAAAACACGTGACAAATTGGATCATAAGACAAACTAACCACCAGGCTACACTATTGTTTGGGACAAAGCATTTGGAATGAAGAATGTCACAAACCTACAGACAGCAAGAATGTTACAAATCGATGAAAATGGCAACTAAGTTGTCAAGGCGACCGAAAAAGCACAGGCTGCACTAGGACGAGTAAACCAGTCGAGAAGTTTCAAGCCACATCGAAGTATAAAGTCGCAGGACAGAATGATCAAACACCTCACCCATGATGCAAGACTTGCGCATTCCCACAGCAAAACACTTGGAAAGACGACAAGGCGAACAGAATCGGCGCGTTTTCACCTGAATCAAGCAACTACCGTTGAATAGGCATGGGGGCATCTGAAAAATGACAAAATAAATCGCTGGTCAGAGTTGAAAAACTGCTTGAGAACCACATATGGAAGATAGTGGTATATGAAGGCAAAAAATAACCTAACTTTAAATTATCGCAAGTCAATGATCCCGCAATTCGACTCGACCCGCCACCGTTTCAATAAACGTGACTCTTGACGGGCGTCAGTGATTACGAATGGCTAAAAAACTGGTAAGTAGCAATTTCAACAAGGAGATGTAGACAAAAAACCATGGTGGATAGTCTACTGCCCATTAAGTAGGAGTTAGTTAACAAATGTAAAATAGAAATATCAACGTTGTATAACTTCCAACTACCAAGACGACATTCTCAAAGTCGTGCCTAACTTTGCTTGACTAATTCTGTAAAAAAATACAAGTACCCAAAAGGATGAGACCACAAAGTTACTGGAACGGGAAAAAAACCATGGGCTCACAGTCGCTGGGGGGAGGGAGACTTCTAATATTCCTTGCGGGGTCACCGAGAAACACACCCCGAAGGCCTTGCCATTCCCGATGCCCCTTATAATCGTGGATAAATTTCTCCAGGGATTTTACACATGTGCAAGAGACGCCTGAAATAATGGACTTCCGATAGACTTTGAATTAATAGGAGTCACGCAATGGCGAGTTATTAGAACAGTAAATTGATTAGGTATGTTGGTAGTACAGTGGAGGAAACAAAAAAGCTTTAAAAGTTGGTCAGTGGAGCAGAGCCACTAGTTAAAAATAAGGAAAAAAATTCACTCAGTCACACCGACCGAAAGGTACATAAACTGGGCGCTTTGAGCCTACGTCTCATCCGCAGTAGGCGGGTAGGCGGGAGATGATTAATGTGCATTCTATTTTAAACACCGTCTTGTTTCCACTGCTTCATATAGGGCATTTTGAAAAAGTGCCAGCTATGGAGGTACCCACTTTCCCAACTCAAAGGAGCCTAATCCACCAGAAATGCGGAAAGCTAAGGCCAAAAAAATGCCATCGCCAGTAAGATGATAACGGTTGGTTAATTTCTCACCCAAAGATGTAGATACGCATGAAAAAAACTAGAAAAACATTGTTGGCTTTGAGTGAACTCAACAAACTTGAAGAGTGGTGCTGGAAACAAAAGCTGGAGAATGAGAATGGACATATGATAAATATTGAGGTAGCTTTAGGTAGGGGTGGGGTATTAAACCTCCCCAGGGAACAAACATTATTGCACCTCTTTTCGTTTATAGTGGGGTAGAAACAAATGAACACACCTTGACAGCCTACGCCGTCTTCACTCCTCTTTGTTTGATTGTTTCAAAAACCCTTCACCCCCGCTGATTTAAATAATGGAGTCGTAATGACTCACCTCTCCTCCCGCCTCCACATCACGACCCCCTACTTCACCTGTTTGGAGAAAGGTCAATTTTGTGGGAAAAAATGTGTAACAGATCACCGGAAATTAGAGAACGTTATTTGAAAGCCAGCGTTTAATCAAACCCTTAGTATCTGCCTAATATAAGCAAGTTCGTTAAAAGTACAGGAAGAATCAACCTAATTGATGAAGCTTATGGATGGCCGACCCTACTAGGGGCTTGAATTTCCAAAAGTCAACAAATATCCACGACTCCACCCAACGCACCTGAATTACTGGAAATAACAATAGATGAGAGTATATATGTGGCTGGTGGAACATTTAGATTTCACGCTGGATCAATAGTGAAAAACGCAAAACATGCAAACATAAAATAGAAATCTTAACATTCCATTAGCTTACTAGCATCTACAACACACACACACACACACAAACAGAGCGATACCGAAGAGCTGCCACCCGAGTCAGGGGATTTCACCGTCGGAGAGAGGTGAATCTAAGATTTCGGTACTTCGAAATAATCTAAGTGGCTGCATGGTGGGGTGGACTACCGACTAAACATTAGCTTCATAAATGGAAAGCCAGAGTACACATGGAAAACCGGAAGTCTGCATCGATCATACAGCATAGCATGTGATGTGTGCAAGCGCATGTTGCTTAGTGATACTAATACAATATCAAGGCTTAAGCCGCAAGTAAAATTTAGGCCGTTTTATCTCGTCAGGTCCACCCAATGTCTTAACACTGTGCTAGTGAAAGAAATAAACAAACACGTAAATCAACTAAGGTCACCGAAAACGGCGATGTTAAGAAACACTGGTGAGGGGGAAGTTCACAATAATCTTTTTACGCATTAAATCAAGTTCGATCAAAAAACTTAGGCAGTGAACTAATCAAAACGTTCAGAGCCAAATGTCAATCCAGTACAAGAACTCCTCAATTTCATTAATTTAAAAAGTTAGATCAAGGAATGAGGATGGCGTGATAAGTTGACCCTTCAGGTTACATCACAACACTAGAAATCACAGCGGCTACAAAACTGAATAGTTTAGGCAGCTTTTAGCTGCACAGAATTCAGTCTTTTCATAAGCGCTGATAAATGGCCTTTTGCGTCACTTGCTTTGCACAATACATTCAAAAGTACTGATGACAAGATAGCAGTAAAAGGACCCTATGTATTATACCAGAATACTAACGAAGTGGAGTTCAGGAATTCCAACAAAAAGCAGATATTTCTGCTGACAAAAAAGTCATCTCACATAAATCAAAATATGTGGCAATTTACGGTGGCTCGGAGTGCATTACGACGGAAGAACGCCTTGCATGACTCGCAGGCAATGGCCCCAAAGTTAAAGCCCACAGCATGATCTCCACAGACAGCACATTTCTTTTCGTCTCTTCTTCGCGCACTCATGCTAGGAGGACAACTGCTGCAATCATTACTTGATGGAATCGTGAAACATTGTCGGTCGTCATGAATCACACTAGACATCTGAGCATGAAGCGCTTGCTTTTGTGACGTCATTCAAGGCTTGATGATCCAGGAATCTAGAAAGCAAAGAGAACGAGAACAATGTCGCTGAAGAGCAAGAAAGAGAAAAATGTAAAATGAAAGTCCATTAGGTTAACCAAATAGAGAAAAGCTGGATGAGAAAAGACCGCATAATACCGATGTGAAATTGGCCTCCAGTGGTGCTTGAAAACACGAGCGTTAAGACTTGTGGTAACGTATTATATATCCAGAGGACTCTAAATGCCTAAAAATAAGTGCCAGGTTTGGCATAAACAAACTGCTCCAAAATCTAGTGAAGATTTCCTAAATTAGCACGGTAAAAAAGGCAAATTTTTGAAACACAAATGTGGAATATACAAAACAAACTTTCTAAGTATACTAAAATATAGCTCCGCCCACATTAACTTCCATACTAAATAAGAATACACAGCTTTCTACGTTAAGGCCTTGTAAAAAGAAACTTTGAATAATTTATCGTAATAAGTGAAATTTTACGATGCTAAGTACCAAAACGAGGCATATATGCAACTTAATCAAGTCTGGATACTAAACACTTTGAAGATACCCACACCCGCGACACATCGGCAAAGAATCAAACCCCGTTCAGAGCATCTTGCACAGATATTAAGAATGCCAGAAAGCCTACCAGGCATCAAGATTGATTAATTTGCGTACAAATAACGCCAATAATGGTAAATGAAGACGAATGAACAAGTAGAAGTTTCCACCACATCGCAAAACTATATAAACAAAATTTTTTGGAGTTTTACATTAAGAACTGTTTGAACTATTTGTAAGTGTTTTTAAACTAAACTAAATAATCGCTATAGATCAAATATCTTTAGCACAAATTCTGCACTGGCCACACTGCAATGACAAATATTCTGATTAAAATCCATAGTTTTAAGGAAGTTAACTTGTGTGTCCTTTTCTGCTCTTTAATAATTTCCAAACAGCATTTGCTCTTATTTCTAATAATGCAATGGCCTTCACTGTTCTTAAAGATAGATCGTTCATCGATAATTTTGAGACAACCTTAATTTTTTCCACCTCATGCTAAACCAAAATCAGTAAGAGATTTTGTTCTTGCGAATTAACCTATTTTGTTTTATAATAACAATTTTTTTCATAAAGAAGCAAAGTCTTCTTGTACTTACTACTATTTTGCACATCTCTGCCTCAGGTCGTAATTTAACCTCACCTTGTCATTACCAAAATCCACTTTTTTTTGTAACAACAAATAACCCAGCATATTTAAAGCGCAATCCTTCATATTACCTTTTGATCAACGCTGTAATTTAACTCTTGTGAATAAAATATAAAAATATCTACATTTGTCATCTCCTACTTTGCGGGTATTTGATTTGGGAATGAAAAATGAGGAAGTCAACAATGGTCGCAAAAAGAGCCTGTAGAAGGTGAGAAAATTTGCCTCTTATGGTTTATTACCAAACGGATGGATGGGTGGAATGTGATGTAGTGTAGGCGCAGATTCCGTCCAATCTTTCCAATCACTTAACTCCCGGACATCAAAACCATTGGGTCGGCTAAGTTCATAGCAAAGTAGATCGATAAGCTGGCCCTAACAACGTGTTCCAACAGCGACAAATTCTGACCAAGGCAACGGCCGTACATTCAAATATTAAATGTGGCTTCTTCCCAATCGAATCCCATTTGTTACAGCAAACCCAAAGCAAACCAAAATGCTGCTTATTTACTTCAATCTGCAAGCGTGTAAACAATTTTCTGAGTGCCTTGCTTCATAATAAAAAATAAGAGCTTACAAGGGGAATCGCGGTTACGCGCCACCTTAGACAAGTGATTATGTGTCGTGGGATTTTTGGCATCTTTAGAAAATCAATTTCAGCTATAATATACAAATGTCATCTGTGATCTTCAGCCTAAAAGTTGCCTGGTTATATAACATTCACTACATTTTTTTAAAAGAAGAAAACCTTGTTGAGTACCAGTTTCCTGTTCAAACCTGCTAGATACCATTAACATCATAACACGCAAAGAATTTACCATTATCAAATTTAGAAGTTTGAGGGGCTTAAATACCTATTTTTAAGCTGAAGGCATAAAAGGCGATATTTGGTAGGCATACTAGACATTCATATATAAGTGGTGGGGGATCTCCCCTAAAGGTGGGATTTTATATGCCAAGAGAAGATCGGAGAACCTTAGCACCCAGCGACTCAATGCTCAAGGTCGCAAACAGCATTCTAATGCCCAAGTAATCTTCTAGATCATGTACGAGCAAAGACGACCATAGCGAACTGTGCTGGTGGCCTATGATTCTTACCTATCGCTCTTATGTAGCGTCCCGAGACTCACTGAAGACGAAAGAAGACAAAATACTCGGGCAGAATATATATTCAGCGCAGAGAAGGTGCCTGGGCTATTGGCATGGCCCAGCGAGATACAAGGGGGCTAGCTCGAAGTAACAAAAGTGG